CTTATACAAATTAAGGAAAATGACGTGGTCAACGGCGACCACTGTACATGAAAGCTGAATGAAAACTAGTAGGCGTAAAACTGAGTCACAGCTCCCATTTGCTGATTGGAAGTACACGGGTAACTGGTATCATCAGAAAAAAGGCCCAAATATTTCGAAGCATGGCCTTGAGGACAAAGAGTTTAATCGGAATCTTGATTACAATTATTTATTACTATTTTTCTTTAGAGTATTGTTAACTGCTTACGCGGAAGTGACTGTTAACAAAAGAATGAAACTGTATTTTCAGGGTAAAAAAGACGACATTTCAAATGTTTACCTTCTGAGCATTGCATGCAAATAACGGAAAGAACATACACCCGTTTAGACGCTGGTAGGTATCAAGTAATTTCCTTTTCAAAAGATAACGGATCTCATCTAAAAAATCGTAAAATAAGTTTTCACTTTCCATGCAGAAGAGCGCAAACTATTTCGATCTGTCTATCTGCAAAAACCAAGCAGCGAAAGGGCAATTCTGTGGGGTCTATGGCCACCATGCTGCTTGTTAAATCCTGTCCTAAAAGCGTGCGTAAAAGAACATATTTATGGGTTTTCTGAGAGAGTAAACAAACCATATAAATCTGGTGGAAGAATACCTCTGGGAAACGATTGCTTATTGTGTGAAATTTTGACCCTGGCTCACCAGGTGGTCGTCAGGCAGATGAGAATTTTACGGAACTGTTTTGAACGATCCTCCTCTGTTTGATGACGACCTGTTGGGCCAGTGCCGAAAATCCACACTATAAATTATCGTTTCCCAAGAGACTTCTTCTACCGAATTGCATTTCTTGGGATGTCGATTTTCCAGTCCAAAATATAGAATATTTATGTGACACGGTTGTAAGACAGAATTTTTTAATTCACACCCTAGTCGATTGGAATTGCTCTTTCGCTGTATGTGACATGTGCAGTTGAGCCAAATCTATGACTAAGCGATTAAATCCCCCTTAGAACTTTACTAAATGATAAATTCACGAGGGAACTAATGAACAACCAGCTTCCTCAAATTATAAAAGAACTTTCTTTCTATGCTCAATATGTAGGCGATATTTTGCAATAACAGATGGGAAGCGCGAGTTGAGCACCCTCCTGGATAAAGTGAATCAAGTCCACCCAGCGCTACCATTCAGTTTGGAAAAAGACAATATAGAATGAGGCTCCTTCACCTTTTCCGGACGCCAAATCGTTGCGCTTGTTGATGGACTGAGGGCCTGAGAACCATGACTC